TTTTTAAAAGAAAAACTTTCTAGTTTGGGGTCATATATTATACTACTATTTTAAATATAACTCCCTTCCCATGTACACTAAATTAAGTGTATAGAAGAAAAAAGTACACTTTTTAAAGAACAGATAGTTATTGACTATCCTTTCTTTCATTTGGAAATATAAGCTTGATTCTATCATAAATTTGGAGTTTTAAATAAAACAAAACAAAATACTGAATAAAATGTAATTATGTACACAGAAATATTAAGGTTTTTAAAATTAAACTTGATTATCTTCTCCTGGAATGTTTACAAATAGAAACAAAATGTGTGGCTATATTATGTATGAAATTTTGGAGTCTCAAATTTTAAAACAAATAATGTAGTTCCAGAGCAAACAATGAAATTTTGTAACAGTAAATATATATCCTATGAGTATTTTTCTATAAATTTATTAGTACTGAATATTTGAGTTAAGAAAGTGAATGCAATGAGAAGTAATATTTGTAGTGTCAGTGAACATAAAAATTGATACCTTTTTTTCAAGATTTTCTAACATTTCAGTAAAACTTTCATTACTTTCCAAATTTACTTTCTGTCGAAATTTCAAGTCCTCTATCAAATGTCTTTTCATAGTTATATCCCTCTCCATTCGAGACATCCTTGAAAAAAAAAGGCATTTTATCAAGAGTGGTAGAAAATACTTTAACAGTGGTGATAGCTCACATTTTATCCAATGTTATACATACTGATAGTTTTTAAATGCTATCTGATATTAATGAAATTGTAAATTAGTAAAATAAATTGCACTGGATATTATTCTTTTAATATTTCGAGTACTTGTAAATCTATAATTTAGATGTGACTTGGTTATTATAGTATTACATACATGCATTAGACCAAAATACAAGAATTGAGAAAGATTAATAAACTTTATGAAAACAAGATTATATTTAAATTACATTTTTACAATGCTAAGAAAAATTAAAGTGCTATTTAGAGATAACTAAAAGCGTAACAATGATAAGAAACAATCCTGTTCTTTAATAAACAAATGTAAATTCTTGTAATACCATGCAAGAAACTAAAATTAGGCTTGATATCTTTTAATTTAATATCATTTGGGAATGAATTCAAACATCACATTAGCATAAGTTGATGAAAAATTAAGTACAAAATGGTAGATGCAGTGACAACTACTACTATTACTATTGCTGCACTGCTGCCACCACTCCAACTATAACAAGAATGACAATTGCTAACATTCATTAAATGCTTACTATGTGCCAGTTACTGTTGTAAGTGCTTCGCATGTATTAACTCATCGAGAGTTCTGTATTAAAAGTGTTTCTCCAGAGCCCTCATTGTTGAACACTAAGCAACACTGCATCTTAATCCATAAATAAACTTCAAGATATTCTCAGTTTAAAAAATTTACCAACCTTTTTGTCTTATAGTTTTATCTAATAATATCACTTTTAAGTGATCTATACTTACAATGTGGTATACAGGTACGTATGTGAGATACATGTATCTTAAATTTATCAATGACAATTGGAATTCTAGGCATGGTATCACTTCTAAACTGTAGTACAGCTATAAAAGGTTTAGAAAGAAAATAATTTTGATTCAACAGGATAGGGTATTTAAAATCTCTTTCTATTAATAAGCAGCAAAAGTCAAAACTTTCATAACCTCCAGTTATTTTAAACACAAACAAAACTTTCCTTTTTTCCATAGCTTTATAAGCTTAGGCATTAAACTCAATATAAGTATCGATCTATATATGTTTAGGGGGTCAAATAATTGCCACATTTTTAAGTTTTTCATTCATGGTCTTGAGGCCATTAATTTATATTGATTCAAAATTAAATATGTTAACTAAGGGAAATCTAAATTTAAATATTATTACCCTCATTAAAAAATAATAACTAGCTTTAAATTAATCATGCTATATGTAGTATCTCTTAAACTTTCATCTTATGTAAGCTTAAACCTGAACTAAGGAAGGAAAACTTCATTGTTAACGACATCGGTATTGTTTCTTGGGGCTTAATGTTTAATAGAGTTGATTGCCACTAGGTGGCACCAAATACAATGGATAGAAATAAAAAGACCATACTTTTCATGCATTTCCTTTATGTGTTCTTCCTTTGCTAGGAGTTCAAATTTCAGAGACTTCACATTTGATGACTGTTTAGTGAGTTCATTAGTTGCATTCTAGATTGAAAATAGACATAAATT